GAGCGACAAGGTCACATCTGTCTGTGGAAAGCTCCCTCTGGCTGTGGGGTGGAAGTTGAGTTCAAAGAGGATGAAATGGAATCTCTGTGAAAGTGTGTAAAAGCCTCAGAGGGATTACAGTTGTGGTCAGGCATCTGAAGCCACCTTCCTGTGCCTGGCATATCTGTACTGTGATGTGCTGATTGAAATTGGCAAGGGGCAGGCAGTGTAATGGTGTCTCCAAAGAGACCCAGCTGTGGCCACCAGTCTGCCTGCCGGGTAATATTGCCTAGAGAATTCATGGGGATCTCCACCTTCCAGATGCACATCCCCCAGAGTGATCGGGTTTTCACCAATGAGAAGCTGACCTATCAGAATGCTGGGTTCCCCTTTTAAAATGAGAATCACAGCTGCCGGAGGAACAGAAGTGGTGGTGTCATCATGGCTCACACCACCTGGGTCAGCCTGGCTCCTGGAAGCAGTGGTGGGTACCAGGCACTGAAGGTCCGTCCCTAGGCATGGCTCCAGCAGGCTCTGGGCCAGGCAGGAAGCTCCACCAGCCAGCCACCTGCCCCCAGCCACCTGCCCGCCTTTTCCCTTCTTCCACAGGACCACCCAGCTCCTTCTGAAAAGGAGCATAACCTTCAAAAAGTGTCTTTCGATTGATTATTGCCAAGTCTTGATCATTGGGTAATTATGTATGTTAGATTTTTATCCACTGTGTGTTACTTTTATCAGGACATTTTTGAAGATCATAAAGTGTTTTGTTATATGCACTGCTTGCTTTTATTGCTTCTCTTTTTCTCACTTTAGCAGTAGGAAAATAATAGGTTAGTTCTTGATTATTTGTAGCAAAAAATGAACTATTACATCTCTTATCATAGAAAGAATTTCCTATAATTGGATTTAAATCACTGGTTAGTGTTTTTCAAAAAAGAGGATTATATTAATTTAGGTACCATTAAAAATGACATTTAACAACTGATCAAATTCAGTGTAAAGGGTGATTATTTGGAAAGGTTTATTTTCAAACAAGAAAAAATATGCATCAGAAAATTCGGTGTTGGGAAAGTTTTAAAGTGATTATTTTTTTTCGATTCAACTTTTCCCTCCTTTGCCTAACCTTGTGTCCAATTTTCAGAAGATCTGTTTCTCCCACATTCTGTCTGCAGTTCCGTCTTCTTTGTGTCACTGGTTAAGTAATCACGCAGATGCTGGTTTCTTCATCCACGAAGCATCCAGCGAGGGCCTTGTATTTGGATGGAGACTTGAGACCTACTTCCTGCCATCGGAGGTCAGGGTTGAGAGGCTCCCTGAGAGCAGCAGGTGCAGACACACAGACACACGTAGCACATTCTGCCAACACTGTCACACACTTCTCCCTGCCTTCAGGAAGGCTGGGTCATGCCTGAGCTGAGACTTGCAGGTGAAGAGATGTTCACCAGGTGGACTGGGTCGGAAAAGCAGTGCATTGCAAAGTTGGGAGTGGGAAGGGTGGTGAGCAGGGCAGGGTGCAGCCATGGGGACGTGGTCTGTGTCATGCCAGGGCATTATTGTTCTAGGCAGAGGGGTCCAAAACAGCCTTTATGCCAAGTCATGAAACTCGGAGCCACACGCCCGTATTGGTGTGGGATGTGGAAATCAGAGCTTAAAGACCGTGAGGTCTGACCCGGGAAGTGACTGTCTGCAGTGTCTCTGAGGCGTCTGCTGTGGGGCCTGCTGTCTGCAGCCCCAGCAGTACCCCGTGTGCCTGTTGGTTTGGTGGCACTGGAGGACTCTCCTTGTCCCATCTCTTGAGTGTGTCGCTCCGGCAGGCAGTGCTCTGTGAGCCGACTGTGTCGTGTGGAGTGTAGATAATATATTCGCTTCCCTYGTGGGACTTCTCTATGATATTTATAGCTGCAGAATACTTTGCAGTCATTTTTATTAATAGTTACCAGATGTGTCATAAGGATTAATGAACTTATGATCTGAAATGTTTGAGCTCCTGAAATAGAGGCGATGCCTGCACAGAGGCGTAAAGAGCATTAAAATGCAAACAACAAGCATTTGAGCTCTTATGTGTGAAGGGGAAATGGCATGGTTAAGATTCCATACTCCGCAGACTTATCTGATGCCCTTAAAGAGGTTGCTGGACACATCAGAGGCCATCGCCAAACATGGAAGGTCCAGTACTGCCAGCCGCACGTGTGCAGATACCGCCTTCTCCTCCCTCGCCCTCGCCCTGGGTGTTGTCTTGAACAAATTGCCAACACAACCAGTTGTTTTGAGTGTTAATTGCCTTCTGTYTCTGAACTTCCATTTCTGTTTCCTTTTCCTCTTACTGTCCAACTGCAGGTCTGAGTAGCCCTCCGTGGGGCCACTGAACCTGCCTCTTCATGGATCTCTGTGTCCAGTGTCTCCTTCCTCAGGGCTGACCTCTGAAGCACAGTCTTACTGCCCTTTCATTTCATGGCCTGTGGTGGCTCTCTGCTGCCCAAGAGATTCACCTGAGAGCGCACAGGCCTCCTGCCCTCTGTCCAGTGCTAGTCATTCTGGGAAGGCCTTTCCTCCCCAAGACCTGAAGGAAGGAGAGCTTTTCCAGGGTTGAGCCGAGTCCACAGAACGTCTCACAAACTGGGCCTCTTCTGCCCCCTGCCTGTCATGCTGCTCAGGCCGGCAGTCTGCGCCCCCCACCCCTGCAGGTGTTCAGGACACATCCAGCTATGATTCCGTCCTTTGGATCCCTTCTGCTTTCGACATTTCCACTCAGAGGTTCTTTGCATCCCTGCTGCCTGCGTGCACACGCCCTGCCAAGGCTGGACAGTGCAGGCCTGGCTGGGCTCCTTGCTGCCGGTGGCACTGTGCAAGGCCCTGTGCATTCAAGCCCTGGAGATCTGTGTCGAGCGTCAGAACCAGTGTCACATCCAGTCTGGTCCTTGAATTCATTTCAACAGATATTAGTTATCTCCTGGRTTGTATAGTCACCCTGAGTCATAAGGAAGAGTGTAAAGTGTGTTTCAAAGCTCTGTTCTAAAGGGGAAGGAGTGTCATTTTAGGAAAAGTTCCATCCTAGGTTGTCACCATTTCACCTTTAGTAGGGTTTCTATATTTTTGTGCTTTAAGGTCTAAGCTTCACCTGGGTGGAAATGATCAACCACAGTCTTTTATCTATTTTAAGTCAGATCTAACTGAAGAATCTAAGTATTTTAGATTTCGAGCATAAGAAACTTTACTTTGCCTTTACTAAGAAGTATGTATTAAATATTTATCTTCCAGTTTGCAGAGGACCTTAGATACTTGTGGGGAAAAAACTAAACACCGAGCCAGCAGCCCCCACTCTAGGACTGTGGCTGGAGGGCAAGGTGCATGCTGGACGCTTTCTGGTCYGTCAGGGAGTCCATGTGGGCAGGTGGCAGGGCGGGAGGGAGAGGAACAGAGTGTGGGGAGACGGGTGGGGTCACCAGCCAGACCCCGAATGGTTAGGAAATGGAGGCAGCTGCATGGCCCTGCTGCCAGATACCCTGCCCCTCCACCTTTCTGAAACACGCCTCTGAGCCCCTCTCCTGCCTTTCCCCGCCGTGGTAGCACCCCAGTGTCTGCTGGGTAGAGTGTGTGTGCTTATGGTGTCCTTCCACCCTCTGAGCTATATCTCTGTGGTCTCCTGGACCCCCTCTCTTCTGTGCCCTCCCTSAAACCCTTTAGCAGAATCAGTTCCCAGTACCTCTGCTCGTCCACGTCTGCCCGTGGCAGGAGGGGCACCCTTTGCCACGTGTGGCTGTGTCGTGGCTGTGGACGCGATTAACACCTGCTGAGTGGACCGTCTTGGTCCAGGAAGGCTCCTCTCCCTTCAGGCAAGTTTCAGCTTAGGCAGAGGGAAGTCGGGCATTGCTTAGGCCATTGGGCCTGTAGTCAGTCCCGACCTTGTGGGTGCCTCAGGGCCCCAGGACACACAGGAGCCAGAGCACCTGGATGGCTTAGGGAAGAACAGGAAGGCTTACAGGTGGACTCTGTAGGGGAGCGGGACCTGCGGTCATTAGCCTGTCTGCACCCACCCTGCCAGGACGGCCCCTCTTGAGGGCTTAGCATGCAGAGCTGGCTCCGTCCAGCACCTTGGAGCACCTTGGGGGACCTGGGAGGAACCAGAGGCTGGTGAGCAGCTAAGGCAGGAATGGTGGAGCCTGGTTTCTTCCCGAGACAAATCATCAACTCCTTTCCTCGTGGTCCCACTGTGTTTTAAACCCAGCAGGTGCAAAGTGACCGTTCGTTTCCATTTCTTCCTCCTGGCTTCCTTCTCCTTATCCTGGCTCTTGTTATTTTTTGATCTTCGTTCTGTATGTCCTTGGATCATGTGTCCATGGTGACCACGTCCTTTCTTGTGTGTTGCTTGTGTCTGTTAGTTCAGACTCTCGCCTCACACCTGCTCTGCTGGGGACCCTGGTTACTGATCTTCTCTTTGGACTTTAAATGCTTCTTTGGTCAGTTTGCATTCCACTGCCAGATTAGCCTGACATTCAGTGTCTTCTGCTTGCTTTGCTCAGGAATCGGGTGACCCCCTTTTGTCACCTAGGTGGGTTAGTTTCAGGCACCTAAGGCCTCCTGTGGTCACCCCTGCTCTCTCTGCTTCAGAGAGACTGGCTCCCTTCTCCTGCTTTCTTGACGCATGTGTCCATGAGTTCTCCCTGGCCATCCCGTGTGGGGCAGYTTCCAGCTCCTGCCCGCAGTCTTTCTGGGTCTTTCCTGACCTGGTTACTTCTCCATGCAAAGTCTCACGCCACGTGTCTGCCCAGCACAGTCCTTGGTCATGCTGTGTCTGCTGGGGCGCTCAAGCCTGTGTGCTGGCTGGCGGCCCTCGCTGGCTTAGTTGCTTCCTCTGTGGCCTGGAGCCCTGGCACCATGCACCTGGCTGGCCAGGTGTGTGAAGTTCCCAAGGGTTGTGAAGGTTCTCCCAGGGGCCCTCTGATGGCGTTCCGCTGTCCAGGGAAGACTTGCGCCAGTGGTCCCCCTTGTCCAGCCCCCTCACAGCATGCTTGTCTCCTCAGCTGGTGCCTCGGATCCTGGTGCAGCCAGCCTTCGCCGATGCCCTGGTCACCAGGACAGAGGAGGTGAGTGGCTCGGGTTGGGGCTGCCCCAGCTGCTGTGGGTGGCCCCGACACTAGCACTGTTTGATGCACACCTGCCCTTTGTTCCTCTCGTTCCTGTTTTGATAGTGAACCACAGTGCAGGTGACTGCTTCTCCCTCTGTGGCCCCTTCTGTTTCCACCCTGCTAATCGTGTGGCTGCTGGTGCCGTCTGGGCTGCAGTAGCCCACTGCTAGGCGGAGGGGGTTCTATAAGCAGAACAGTCTCCTTCTTCTCAGTGTTGGCTTAGTTCTTAGTTTTACATTCCGTTCTGATTCAGGGTAGCAGCGTGCAGACACGGATGCTAAGCTGGAGGAAGCAGTCTCACGGTCTCCCACAGATCAGCAGCACCTGGGATCTGCGGAGCCGAGAAGCTGCTTTCCCCACTGTGCCGTCGTTCTCTTAGGAGATGCTCCATCTTCATGGGGAAATGTTATTTATTAGAACAGCCAAAAAGGCCCCGTAATTGGAGAGATGCTTCACGCCTCCCGGCACCCCTCATGCTCTAAGGCCCTCTCACTCCACTGCTTGTGGGTGTCATGACTCTCCCCGGGGACGTGCCCAGTGTCCTCTCCCTGGGAGTGCAGCGGTCATTCTGCCCAGCCCGTGGAGGGAGAGCAGGGCCTTGTGGTGAGGACAGCCACCCACCCAGCTCCCACAGAGCCTCTGGCGGCTCTTTCAGCTCGGCCTTCACAGAAGTTTCTGGAAATGCCTCTCTTAATGGTCAGGGTAAAATCAAGAGGTGGCAGCTAGGTTTCCAGTCACCCACCCACCGGGTCCAGTGGAGAAGTGCTGTGGGCCGGGGGCCGGGGGGCTGGGGCGCAGTGGGCCACCTCTGCCCTCTCTGGTCTCTTGTTGTCGCTTCACCTCCAGCTCCTTTCCCTTCTCGGGGCCTGGACGACCCTTCAGCCTTGCTGGCCAAGGGGTAGAGTGCACGTGCTACATTCCTGCCTGTCCTTCCTCAGTGATGCCTGTGGCACCGTTGAGGTGACACCTGCAAACTATGGCAGCATCTCTGGACCAGCCTGGACCACCCCAGGCCCCCCGCTGGCCCTGAGCAGCCAGGGGTGGAGCTGTTGAGGCTCTGCCCTCCTCTAGTCTGCGTATTCTTCCCCACTTGGTCACTTATGTTAAAACTAAAATACAGAAGAATAAATAAAACATGTACAAGTTGCAAAAGAAAAATGATTGAAGGATTGCCTAATCTTTTAGAGTATTTATGACGGTGACAGTTATTGATCTATTGGATTGAGTAAATTTTGCAGCCCAGAGATCCATCACAAAAATGGGCTGTTAATCTCAGGAGGTGCCGTTAATTTCATCCCCTGAAAGTGTGCCTTGTGGGGAGAGAAGGCCCCTGGAAACAGGAATATAAATGACAATCCAGGGGAAAATGCGTGATTTATCAAATTGCTGAGTTAAGCCAAGTAACTGTAAGAGACTTATAGATCTCAGCCGTTTCCCAGTTCAAATAAATCCTGTGTTTCAAATGGGGAATGACCGTTCCTGTAATATAAATAATTTTCCATAAATATTGGAAAACATATTTCTTTTTCTGAACAGCATCCCACCCCACCCAGCTCGCCCCATCCGCCTTCTCCCCAGCACCGCCGTTCCTGCCAGGGCTTCAGTCACAGACCAGGCACCTCGCGTAGCTCGGAAACTGGGGTTTGGACAAGTGGTGGCTGTTGTCCCCCCTGTGAGACCTGGCTCTGTGTGTGTCCTCTGCTGGGGACTCCGGGAGCCATGTGAAGAGAAGAGGCTGGCCCAGCCACCAGCAGCTCTGTCCTCCAGTGGCTCCTCTGGTCTTTGTTCCAGGATTAGAGGTCCCTGAGCCCCGACTGGCCCTGGCTTCTACAGCAGCCAGAAAAACAGCTTCTAGAAGAAAGGGCAGGCCGCAGGCCGACTCTGTCCCCCTCGTCCCCTGGACCCCCTCCACCCCAGCCAGGGTCAGCCCCTCCTGGTGCCGCACTGCTGAGCACTTTCAGACCCTCCGATGAGGTCATCACTTGGACTTTGCTGGGAAAGTGCTCTCTGGCCTCTTCAGTGCTTCTCCTGTCGCCTCTCGAGGCTGGTGGTGGGAGGGTCTGTTTCCACAGTGTCCCGGTTGCCACTGAGTGTGGGAGGCCACAGAGGCCATGACGGGGCAGCAGGGTTTTAGTGTGCTGCTCTTTGAGGCCAGGGGCTTTGCCTCCTGCCCTGCCTCTGGGTGGCAGGGATGGGCATCTGTGTTTACCTAAGGGTGCAAGGGACGGGCCTTTGCCGTGTTGCTCAGTGCTCTCCCCAGCATCAGTGCTGTGCACACCTGGAGTAGTTGTGTGCAAGACCAGGGTCACGTTAGACTCAGGCTGCACTGTGGCCAGGGCTGTCCTACCCAGAGCCAGGCCTGTTCCCTGGGGGGCTGCTCCCCGGGCTTGTGTTGGGCACGTGCCACCTGCAGTTCTCAGTGGTGCTTCCCTCCTGCTACAGGCCCCGCATGGCAGCCTTGGGCCTGGTGTGGCCTCTGAGATTGCGGCGCAGACGGCAGCCCCTGGGGCGAAGAGCTCCGAGAAACCAGCCAAAGTGCCTTCCCCACCGCCCGCCGCTGTGGTCACCCAGGTCCCGGAAGGGCAGGACGGCCCCCCCAGCCCCCTGAGTGAGGCCTCCAGCGGCTACTTCTCTCACAGTGTCTCCACTGCCACCCTGTCCGATGCACTCTGCCTGGGCCTGGATGTTGCTGTCCCTGCTGGCCAGACGCCTGGCTCTCCACCAGCGCCCAGCCAGGCTGCCCCGGAGGCTGGGCTGGCCTTTCCCTCCTGTGCGCAGAGCCACCCACCTGGACGAGAGGAGCCTGCTGCCCAGCCTCCCCCGCCTGCCCCCAGCAGGGACCCTGAGACCTCCAAGGCCCTGTTGCTCCCTGACCCCCCACCGTTGGCACCTGTGTCCCCGTTCAGAATCCAGAAGGTGCGGACCTCGGAGCTGAAGTCGTTCACATGCATGCTGGGCGGTGGCTCTGGGATCCAGGAGGACCTGCTTGCCACAGTAGGGTCTGGTGACACTGGGGGGCAGGCCCTGGGGACACCAGAAGTGGCCTCTGATTCTGAGGATACCAGTGAAGTCCCCGAGTGGCTCAAAGAGGGGGAGTACGTTGCTGTGGGCACCAACAAGACAGGCATCGTGAGGTACGTCGGGCCTGCTGATTTCCAGGAGGGGACATGGATTGGTGTGGAGCTGGACCTTCCGTCAGGTAAGTGGTCCCTGGAGGGTGGCCAGTGGGGACAGGGAGGCAGCTCCACATGAGGTGGCACTGCGGGGGTGCTGGGTTCCCAGGGCACAACCTGGCTGAGTCTCCCAGCTGTGGCTTCTCAAAACCAGGACTCTTCAGTAGATGAGTTAAGTTTTCTTGTTTAACTTTGAACTTTCTAAGAAACCCAAGATTGTCACTGAAAGCTACTATAGATTTAGTAATGGTTTTAAATGCTTTTTTTGTTTGAGACAGGGTCTCAGGTGTTGCCCTGGTGTCTTCAGGTGACCCTCTATCTCAGCCTCTGAGTAGCAGAGACTAGGGTGCATGCCACCGCACCCAGCACTTTTTTTTTTTTTTAAGTTACAGAAGCGCCTGCTTTTGAAATAGAAGGGTAGCTTGGGCTCAGGGCGTAAGCCCCTGCCCTCATTGGTTCCTGGGTTCTCTTGGCTATTCCTTGGACTTCCTGGCCTCAGTCCGCAGGTTGGGAGCTCTGGGTGAGGTGACGAGGGGACCTGTGATCTGCTGCAGCCTCTTGGATCATGTGATTGAGTGTCAGATCTTAGAAGTAATGAGAAGAACAGGGGCAAGACTTGAGGGTATATTTGTCCTTCAAAAGTTTTTTCAATATTATTTTTTTTAACTTTTTTACTTTTTATAGTTGTAGATGGACAGATGCCTTTGTTTATTTTTATGTGGTGCTGAGGATCSAACCCAGTGCCTCACACATGCTAGGCAAGTGCTCTGCCACTGAGCTACAGCCCTCAGTATTGTTTTAAAACAGCTTTATTGGGAAGCAATTCATATATTATAAGCTCTACCCATTTAAAGTGTACACGTGCTGAGCACGGTGGCATATACCTGTAATCTCAACAGCTCAAGAGGCTGAGGCAGGAGGATCACGAGTTCAAAGTCAGCCTCAGCAAAAGTGAGGTGCTAAGCAACTCCGTGAGACCCTGTCTCTAAAATACAAAATCGGGCTGGGGATGTGGCTCAGTGGTCAAGTACCCCTGAGTTCAATCCCCAGTACCCAAAAAACAACAAAACAAGGATTAAAAGGGTATTAGCAAATAATTCATCTATGACTAGTAACACATACTGTATTCAAGTTGCTAGATTCCAAACATACCTTGGTGAACAGAACAAAGCCCCTGATATAACTGGACTTGTATTTTTTAAAAGATTTTATTTATTTTGTTCCAGGGATTAAACTTGGGACACTTTCACCTCGGCCTTTTGTATTTCTTATTTTGAGTAAAGGTCTAAGTTGCTTTAGGTCACCTGGCCTCGAACTTATGATCCTCCTGCCTCAGCCTCCTGAGTTGCTGGGCTTGCAACTCAGGAGGGGATTTAGAGGGGATAAAATTACCAAGTAAACAAAAAATTTGATAGTAATAAATGCTATGAAGAAAATAAAATGTACTAAGGGGTGAGGAGGGTGGGTGTAGAGGGTATTTTATACTAAGCAGGAAAACCAAATGGATGAACAGAGGAGAAAGGTGGGAAGGTGGCCTTTGGTCAGGCAGGGCAGTTGTAGCCAAGGGCCCGAGTGTGTGAACCTCAAGGCAGGGCCAGGCTTGAAGGCCGGCCACTGACACCATGGATTCTGTGTCCCTGCTTTGGAGGGTGTGAACAGAGTGTGGCTTGGAGAGAGGATGTGGAGCAGAGGTTGTGGCCATCCCAGGCCGAGAGGGCCCCCTGTCAGGGCAGGTGGGACCACAGCCAGAGGGCTGGGTGGCCCTCAGGAGAGACAGGGATGACCGCTCAGGTGTGACGACAGGCTAGATAAGGGGTCACTGACTGACTTGCAAGGACTCTGCTTTGGATGCACATGTTAGTTGCAGGCCAGGCCTGGGCGTCCCCCTGAGAGGCCCAGGGCCTGGCAGATGGGCAGACAGGCAAACCAGCTCCAGCACTGGAGAGTGGAAAGGATGTGGAAGAGCTGGGGAAAGAAGTAGCGAGGAGTTGTCCCCAAGCAGACTGTGGGGGCTGCTGTGCTGGCCGAGCCAGCTGCTGCGGTGGCCAGGAAGGCTGCTGCTGGTCCTGCTGCAGGGTTCTCGCTCCTCCGGCCACAGACCCCGCCCTGCACCTCCTCTTAGATGTGTTTTGTTGGCCCTCACAAGGAAACCTTTGTCCCCCTTGTCCCTTCTGGGCACATGAGGCGTGGCGTCTGTGGGTCCCCCCCTGTGGAGTCAGGGCTGAGTCTTCCCAGTGCCGCCGGCCACAGCCTGCTCTGCTCACTCAGTGAAGTGACCTGTGCCCCTGGAGTGGCCGAGCCCGCTCTGCTGTGGCAGGTGTCTGCGCCTGCGTCTCCCCACCTCCTCTGCAGGGCTTGTCGCCCAAGGCCACGGGGCTGAGGGAAGCCAGCTCTGGTGACCACTGCTCGCTGCCCGGGCAATGGTCACCCCATGCCCTGGTTTCTGCTGGACCAAGCAGGGCCTGAGCGGTTGGTACCAGGCACAGAGGCAATCTGGGGTACACAGCAAGGGAGGTGACAGGGCGCCCCTTTTTGATGCCACCTTTTCCTTTCCCTTGCAGGAAAGAATGACGGCTCCATTGGTGGGAAGCAGTACTTCAAGTGCAACCCGGGCTACGGGCTGCTGGTGAGGCCCGGGCGCGTGCGCAGGGCTGCGGGGGCTGGGCGCAGGCGCAGCTCGGGGCTCCGGCCGCAGGGCGCCCCCGAGGCCCGCCGGAGCGCCACCCTCTCGGGCTCCGCCAGCAACCTGGCCTCGCTGACGGCCGCTCTGGCCAAGGCCGACAGGGCCCACAAGAACCCCGAGAACCGGAAGTCCTGGGCCAGCTGAGCCACCGCCTCCCGAGGCAGACACCCAGGGAGCTGCCGAGCCCCCCCTGTGACGCCTGGGGACCTCCCCAAGCAGGCTGAGGAGTGCTCTTTGCACGACACAGGGCTGGTGACTGCCCGTTCCCTGTCCTCCCGGCCCTGGAAGCTTGGCTTCTCCCTGTCGTCCGTGGCCGAGGAGGCCCCCAGCTGTGCCTCCCGGTGGCGGGTGGGAAGTGCGGAGCCCGGGTGGTGGGACCCCCGTGGGAGGCCCGGGCACTCCGCCTGCCTGGGGCACCCCCCAGGGTCTTCCCCTCTCTTCCGGCACCCTGACGCCTTAATTTAAGGAGTGACTTTCCCAGCACCTGCGGGGCTCCCGTGGGCCTGGCTGTCCCTGTCCCGCCTCCCCGCAGGGGACAAGTCCCGTCAGGGCCAGGGGCGCGGCGGAGGGCGTCCGGCAGGGTCTCTGGGAGCCCTGGCTTCTAGACCTGGCTGGAAGGTCTTCTGTTTGCCATTGATTCTCCTAACCGGATGCTTGGGATATATTTATTTATATTTATTTTTAAAATCTGAAATCATTGCGAGCTCAATCGCCCTCTGCCTGGGCTGGTGCTGAGCCTTCCTGAGTGCCCTGGCCTTTCTGGTCCTCCTGCCTGGGCAGCGCTTCCTGGGGGAGACGTGTGTGTGTGTCCTGCACACACGTGTTTGTTGGTGGCCTTTGTCCASGATGACAGGGGACAGGGGAGGAGCACAGAGGGGCACCCCCCTCGCTGGTGCGCGGTGGCATTTTAACTTCCTCCACCTGGCGGCAGGCGGCCTGGGGAGGGAGAGGCCGGTTGCCCTCCCAGGCCCACAGCCTCCCCAGGGGTGGCTCCCCTCCCTGCCAGACGGGAGGCTTCTCATCCTGGGGCCTTTCGTGTCAGCTGTGTTGAGAGAGTGTGTGTGTGTGTGTGTGCGCGCGCACAAAACTGGGCCAGGCCTGGTCCCGGTGGGTGGAGGACACCCCCAAACTGTCTTGTCTCCAGCAGCCCCAACTTGCCCACCGACCCCAGCTCAGGGCTGGAGTTTGCACTGGGCACCTCTGGGCTGGAGTTTGCACTGGGCACTCCTGGCGGCTGGGTTTGGTTCTTGGAAAAACCATCGCGGAAGTTTTTGGTGAGGAATCCGGTTCTAAAGAGGTTTGAAGCCCCTTATGAGAAGCAGTGCTAGACCTTATCTCCAGATGGGGCCACCAAGCCTGAGCTGGCCCCCCTGCATTACTCTGGCCAGCATGGGCAGCACATGGTGCCAGAGGCCAGGACAATTAACCCAGGGCACTCTGACCACCAGGGGACGGCCAGGAACAGGCTCAGGCCGGAGCAGTCCCTCAGGCAGGGTCAGCGTCCAGCCTGTGTCTGCACAGGCCCGTCCTGGGGCTGGCGTCTTCATGATCCCCCCTTGTGAGCGGGCATTGTGAGGGGTCAGGGCTGGCCAAGGCCCTGCCAAGGGGATCTGGTCTGCCCCTTTCTGGGACAGCATGACTGGAGGGAGCCTCCATCCTGAGGCAGGCATTGACCAGCGGCCTTCCCTTCCTGTTTTGGGGACACTGTGGGCTGTGGATTCTGCCTGGCTTTTCTCCTTTCCCTCCTGCGCAGCATGGCTCTTCTGGAGTCTGGTTCAGTTGGAGTCAGTGTCCCCTGTGTGGCTGTTGGGCAGGGACCAGCCCCTCCCTCGGGCAGGCCAAGCCCCGGGAGCCCCAGGAGAGAAAGCTGGAGGTGGGAGTCGGGCAGGGCCTGCTGGAGCCGTGGTCATAGGCCCGGGAGGGGAACCTGGTGCTGCTCTTCATCATTCTGGGCCTTTAAAGTGGAGGAGGATAAAAAGGGATCATCGACTTGAAGAGCTTGTGAGCAGGAGCGCAGGAGCCGGGAGGCTTGACCAACATGGCTCAGGCTCCTCGTCCTTGTCCTGCAGAGTGCGGGACACCTTCTCTCTCCCAGGCCTCTTCTCCCCATCTCCCAGGGGCATCCCCTACCTGGTGCAGTGAGCTCAGCCTCCTTTCCAGCCTTGTTCACAGGCCTGAGCAGGCCTGCGGGGACAGGCGTGTGCTGGGGTGTGGAGACCTCTCTGCGCTCTTGGCTGGAGTTTTCTTCCAGCTTAGGGTCTTGTGCTTGGGGTCTCGTGAGCCTGTGAGGAGTTGGTCCTATTGGTGTTGTGAGTGTCTGTGTCCATAGCTGAGGGGGCGCAGGGCGTGCCTCTGTTGCCCCTGTCCCGAGGGCAGGATGTGGGCCTCTGGAAGGACAGCACCGCTGGAGGGGAGGCTGGTGGACAGCACCCCACTGGGCCTTGCCCGCAGCTTGCCCCTGGGTCCTTCCTGCACTGAACCTACTCATCCCCTAGGGCAGAGGGAGGCACTAGCTGCTCCCTGTGGGAGGCTCTCAGCACTTCTGCTACCCTYGGCTTCCTGGGCAGCCCTGTCTCCCGCTAGGCGAGCTGCGCAGGCGCTGGGTGAGGCCTGCTCAGGTTTAGTCTTTCCTCTTGCTCTTTGGCGTAGATTAACACTAACTTGTGGCTGGAGAAACAAGGGTGTGCAGTAGGGATGGTCACTGAAGTGCTGGGCAGTGGAGGGACAGGGAAGGTGTGTATCTGGGTTCCTGGGAAGGCCTAGAGGTGTCCATGTCCCCTTCACTCCTGGTCTTTTCTCCCTTGGGCTTAAGCATTGTCTGTACATGAAGCAGGAGGTTCTGGGTTCGAGTTGTCCTTGCTTAGGCGCCCTGTCTGCGGAGGCTACAGGGTGTGGAGCGTATTTTGATGCTTCTGGTGCCATCAGCCCCATGCCACCTTAGACAGGAGGCACTGAGGTGGCGGGGCCATCTGTAGTGCCTTTCCCTGGGGTGCACCCCCACAACAACTGTACCCAAAGCCTCTTTCTCTCTGAAAGGCCTGGTGCCCTGGTGAGCTGCACACGCTACTGGTGTTGGGAGAGTCTGAACAGCTTCTCTGTGTGGATTTTGTAAATATCTTGAATTCACACAGAGAAGTGATTTGATTTGGGGATTATAGTGATTTGGTACACATTAAATGGGAGTTAAAAAAAAATCCAAAGACTGTAATGAATTGTAAAGATTTTAATGATTCCTCTGTGTGGTGAACTAAACGCTGTAACTCTGTACCATATATGCCTTCCCATCAAATGACCAGCAGCTTCTGAATAAAGCCAATGACTTCTTGCCTTGTCTGGGGTTGGTCTTGTTGCTTCCTCCCTTTTCTACACAGACTGGGGCTCATGCAGACTGTCCCCGTCATGGCCCTGTTGTCACTGGTGGTGGTGGTGGGCATCTCAAGATGGAAGCTAGAAGGGTGGGCCTGGCACACACCCCTCGTTAGCCTGTTCAGAAAACCAGCGTAGGCTGGTTTCTACAGCTGAAAGGTAGGCAGACCCCGCACGTTTCTGCATTAAGGGGTTTTGGGAAGGGAGGATGACGGCTGTGGCTGGCAGGGTCTGGGTCAAGTCCAGGTGGGCTGTGGGGCCTGACAGTTTTACTGGGCCCTACTGCCAGTGAGGTTGACCTCCTACCGCCATCTGCCGAGCTGTGTGCCCAGCACAGGTCTGGAGCACCCCGAGGATGGCAGGTTGGCCTTTGAGCCAGGAGAGGTGGCTAGGCCCCTTGGCTCTGCCTGTGAAGTCCCACTCACAGCCACAGGACTGCCGCCCTGTGCAGGTTTCCTCCTTGGCCGCTGCATCACTCGGCCCTCCCCTCATGGCCGACAGCCATGGCCTCCTTGCCAAACGGAGGGCTGTGGCCATCCGCCAGAACACAACTGAATGGGACTTGTTTGTATTCCTAAGTGCAGATGAGTTGTTCTCAAGAGATAAGCACTGCCAACTAGGGACAGAAATGCGGCAGCCATGAGCAGCCCTGCTCTGAAAGCAGCAGGAATCTGAGTGGAATTTATCGAGGTCTGAGGGTAAATCCTAAGTTCTCAAGCGGCTGCTTTCTTGCAACTCAATGAGATGTCTTCTGTTTGCATCAGGCTCTGGGGTTTTATAGTTGCTCAGACCCCAGGACGGRTTCCCAGTGGATGTCACCATTAGTTCATTTGTTCACTAATTGAATCACTTGGAACACTGGTACCTGTGCTGAGTGCAGCCTCCTGGAGCAGATGGTCCAGTGGAAACAGCCTCCTGATGAGCCTCACGGTAGGTGGGCCTGTTGCCTTGGTGGGGTGTGAGGAAGGCTGCCCTGGGACGCCATCGAGGGGACTTGGTGAAGGGCAGCTGGGGAGACGCCAGGCTGCAGGGCACACATGGAAGACAGGCAGGCAGGCAAGCAGGCTGGGTACTGACAGCTCATGGTTTCTGCGTAAGGAGAAATGGCAGTTGAGGCCAAGTAGCAGAGCAGCATGGGGTGAGGATGGTCCTGGCTTGGGCCTCTGCCCACATCTGCTGTCCTGCCCTACCTGTCTCCCTTTGGCAACTCCAAGGTTTGGGGCAGCTTTAAAATTTTGCAGACTTTTCTAATTCTACTGAGAAGAAAAAAAAGAGCCCCTCTCCTCTGAGGAAAATCAGTGGGCTCCAGAGTGTGGCATGAGTCTGCTCAGAAACTGCATGCCTAGAAAGAAGACCAAGACGGAGCGTCAGCTTTTGTTGTTTCTCCTGTTCAAGGGGAAGCCAGAGAGCGAGCTCCTTTATACAGACGAAGCTGCCAGGCACCATAAAGGCTGCTCCCAGGGCTGAGGCCCGCAAAGCCAGGAGTCCCAGGAGAGACCCAGCAGGCAGGCTGAGCAGCGCTCCCTCCTTGGGGAAGGTGGTTTGGGGCAGGGGAGCTCCTGAAAGACCACACGGAGCAGGTGCCCAGGAGCACAGGTTGGAGGGTCAGGAAGTGGGAGACGGGGGCTTTCTGAAGCTCGTAGTGCCCGGTGCTGTGAGCCTCTCCACAGGTCTCTGGGCTCCCCTATCCCTTTGAGAAAAGCACAAAAGAGTGCCAAGAATAGGACCCTTGAACCCCTTCAGCAGTGACAGGCATTCTAAATGAGCATGTTCTGATTCAAAAAAAAAAAAAAAATCCCAGTCAGTCTTTGTTCAGTTATACATTTTATTCTCTAATAGGTACAATACTAAAATAAACACAAATTAAAAAAAAGTTTTATTAAAACAAAACTGTACAAAAAAGCAGTATATACTACATTTTAATTACAGAACAGTCTACTGTCCAAAAGGCACTAATCCAGAATAGGAGATACAATGAAACAGGACTCATTGGAACTATTTTAATCAATACAATAGAGCACTTGTTTCTTTGACCATTTACATCCAGAAACAAGGGCCGCTTGCTACAGTCACACACTGCCGTGAACTGAGTCCTACAGGTGAAGATGCAGCATCGCTCTCCCTAGGGACACTTCCCAGCGAGGGACTGGGGGGCTGAGGTGGGTGGGCAACGGTGGGCACCCGGAGCTCATCTTTCAGCCTGGCCTTTGGAGGCAGGTTCTGGTCTTTACTGGTGGCCACTTTAACCCCCTCTTGTATTTAGCACCGGCAGAGTGGGCTCTGAGATGCCCCAGGGTGTGGGCTGAAGGTCTGGTGGTGAAGCGGGGCAGCTCCGCGGGAGGCATGTGGAAATCTGACCTCAAAGAGGCAGCCAGGCAGAGCCACCTGCTGCTTCCTGGGCAGACCGATGGCCCAGAAACCAGAGGTCCTGTTCCCAAGACAGAGCTTTCCCGCCTGGCTCCTCATGGGCCCAGTGGAGTCTGTTAGGGGGAGCTGACGTTTCTGGTGGGAAGTTGGTTTCTAGAAGTGGGATTTGCTTCCCAGAGGCAAGTCAGAATGCCAAGCCTGGTCTGAAGTGTGTCAGCCCTCCCTCCCCTCCGTGCCACCAAAGGTCCATGAGTGGCTCTGGGTTCCACCCGGGGCTTCCATGAGCCACACTCCCTGTTGAGTGGCTGTTGGCTGCAACAGCTCAAAAGCCCCAGACATCATCCTCTCGTGGACCCTGGACCTAAGGAAGAGATGCTGCAGCTTTCCAAACAGTGTCAACACAGAAGACAAGGACAGGCATCTGATGTTAACAAAAATAAGTAACAAAGAAACAGGATTAAACCAAGTCTTTTCTCACAGCATCCTATACTACATCCTCCTTCTGCTTAGCAGAAAATTGTACGTACACAAAAATACAAATACACAATTTGTAGAACAGTCTGATTTTAATATATTTATATATATTTATATTTATACGAGTGGCAGGTTAGTTCAGTATATAGAGCTTTTTGCACTTTTGGCTCATATGCAACAAGGCTTATAAATTCAGCTTTAGCTTTCATTCAGGTTTTATAGCTTTTGAACAATTGTTTTCACATTTAAAGCAGCATCCAATTTGCACTAGGAGTTGTGATTACAGGAAACACGGGGTCAGGGGCTATGGAGGGCGGGAGGGCAGGGAGATATACATTCCAGTGTGTGGCGTGTAAGGAGGATTCGTGTGGACAGAGCTTACCATGATGACCCTTGAGGTAGACTGAACACCATACAGCAGACTCAGACACAGGTGTGACTCGCCCTCAGGGACACATGGTGCACAAGATGGGGATAGAGATGGGGGGGACCCAAAGGGAAACAAAAAACTAAGACACAATGGCCAAGGCAGGGAGGGGCTGTGCTCATCTGGCAGGATCCTTCACGGCCCATTTGACACCCAAAGTCTGGTGGCAGCAGAATACTTTTGGGAATCATGGCCCCTTTGGCCTGGGGCACCTGATTGGACCATAGGCATCACATCTGCAGTCCCTCCTACAAAACTTGCCATGCCAGCCAGTGCCCAGCCCACAGCAGATGCTAAAACAAGCGTACTTGTCTAGAAATGACCTCACTCCTCAGCACTCTGCTCTGACTGGAGTGTTCTATCCAGTGAAGGGCGGCCAGGTCCCCTGCTGCCTCCCTCTCCTTGTGCCCCCACTCACACCACCTCTGCTCAGCAACACTGCAACTGCCAGCACTGGGCAGGACCTAAGGGAGGACGGTGCCGCTGCCCTAGCTGTGTGACTTCACCCCCAGACAGGCCTGGTCTGCACCACAGCTCAGTGGTACTCCGGTGTGACATAACCCAGCCACCTGCCCTTCTCCTCCTGGCAGAACTCCACTGGCACGCCTGCCCACACGCCGCGTGTGAATGCACAGAGTTCGGGTTGTTACATGGTCTGAACAAAAATGCTGGGTTATTAATGAAAATAAAGTGCCTGAGTATGGATTGTTCCGTTTTGCAAAACCTTTTCATGTACCCACAGGTCCTCGGTGTGCTGCTTGGCAATGTGATCTGAACAGAGCACAGTCACAACACATCTGTCCTACACTCACCTGGAATAAAGGCCATAGCTAGGTCACACTTACATCACTCTAAAGAAGCAAACACTCTCACACTCACTCCCAAAGCTGCGCGCTGGATCTTGCTCAACACCCTACCGGCAGCCTTTGTGAGCAGGCGCCCTGCCCCTGCGATTGGGGAGGGATGAGGCACCAGGCTCAGGCTGTGCTTGCTTCACCTCTGTCCTCCTGGATCTGGGTGCATCCTCCAACTGCTACCAAACAGATTCTGCTTTGAGACTGTCCTGCTCCCCTGTCCCCATTGCTCAGTAGCCAGCGAGATGGCTAAGCAGACTCCCCAAAATTCTCTAAGAACCAAGAACATAAGCACACCGACGAAAGAAACAGGGAACAGTGACAAAGCCAGCCTGCGGGCCAGGAAGAGCTCTCCCCGCTGCTTACCCTTGTGGTCGTTCTGCCTGCAGAACAGCTAGGGGCAGTAGGGAGGGGCAGCCACCCGATGCCCACCCTGAGGGCCAGGTGCAGGGTGGGAAGGACAGGGCACAGGCTGACTCTCTGGCAGGTCCCAGAGGTCTGTAACTTGCTTAGGCACTTAAACATAAATAAGAATTTATCCTGGAAATACACCCAACATGCCCCTGGGAGGGAGGCGAGCCCGGGGGAAATCAGAGAAGGCTGTGGGCTCTTCGGGTCAGGCCACTGCCATGATCCTGGCACATTCTGGCAGAGAGAGCATCCCACCTTGCAGCCGGGAGGTGTGAAGAAGCCAGTGATCTGTGTAGGGCTCAGGGGCCTGCAGAGGCCTCTCCAGGTCCCGACTCTGCAGCCATTAAGGCAGCAGGCTGGGCTGCCACGGGCCACCCCAACGTGCTACACACAGGGTCAGCCAGAGCTTCCAGAGTGTGGA